GTGGTGGTCGGGATGCTGCGGGAACAGGGGGAGCACTGTTGCGGGGGAGTGGTGCAGTGGCTAGAATGGTGGTGTGGGCAGTGGTGGTGCAGTGGCTGTAGCGGTGTTGTGGGCAGTGGTGGTGCAGTGGCTGTAGCGGTGTTGTGGGCAGTGGTGGTGCAGTGGCTGTAGCGGTGTTGTGGGCGGGGGTGTGGGGTGCAGTGGCTGTAGCAGTGTTGTGGGCAGTGGTGGGGGTGTGGGGGTGCAGTGGCTGTAGCGGTGTTGTGGGCAGTGGTGGGAGTATGGTGGTGCAGTGGCTGTAGCGGTGTTGCAGTGTGACGGTGCAGGTATCAGTGTGTGATATGGTGTTGGGATCTGGAGTGGGTGGTATCAGTGTTAGGATGGGGCAGGATGGGCAGCGGGTGGTTGAGGAAGGTGGGAGCTGGGGTGGTACGGTTGGCACAGTGTTGCAGTGTGCTCCCTGTACCCCCACACCGGCCAGGTTGGTGGGTGCAGTGTCACTGCGTGCTCCCTGTACCCCCACACCAGGTCTGTGGGCGCGGTGTCACTGAGTGCTCCCTGTACCCCCACACCAGCTGGGTCGGTCACAGTGTGCTCCCTATACCTCCACACCAGTCGGGTCTGTGGGTGCGGTGTTGCTGTGTGCTCCTTGTATCCCCACACCGGCCGGGTCGGTCACTGCGTGCTCCCTGTACCCCCACACCGGCTGGCCGGGTCGGTGGGTGCAGTGTCGCTGCGTGTTCCCTGTACCCCCACACTGGCCGGATCTGCCGTGCCTGGTGCTGACTTCTTGGGAAGGTGACCATGGCTTCTCACAGTGGCTTCAGGTGCACTTTAAGGCTTTCTGTGTCCGAGGTCTGCTTCTACCCCTTTCCCCTCCTCTCTGGGTTCAGTGCCCTTTCTCAGGTGAAGGGCCCTTGATGGGTGGAGAGAATGAGTCTTCGTCTGCGGCGGATCCAGAACCCACTGTGCTGTTGTTGACCTTTCTTCTTCCCTGCAGGTGGTGGCTACCACATTTTCTTTGAATTTCTCGTTCGAGGGGTGTGTATGGTTTCTTAACTTCCTGCAGTGACAAGAACTTCATAACTATTTTTAAAAACTAGTTGTTTTGGGGTGTTTGGGGGTTTTTTTGCCTAGCACTTAGAGATCTTTTCTGCTGAAATCTTTCACCCTGTAATGTATTTAAGTAAGGCGACAGGTACGGGTTGGCCTCTCCAGCCCTCCACCTGCCCCAGCACCAGGTATCAAACATGTCAGTTCCCATGAGGGGTTCCTGATGGCATGGGTGCATGGTGTGGGATCTTGTCTGACCAACTAGATAGTAAGAGTTTGTTTTTTAAATGACCATGAAGTGAATTCTCTGCATTTTGGAACACTGTCTCTTAGACCGTTTTCACACCTCGCTTAATGGAAGTGTTAAAAGCGATCACCTATTTGCCTCCCACCTCAGTGGGGAACTGGGGCTCCGCCAGCACCCCCAGACCCCTGCACATCCTTCCCCACACATTCCCTTCCCTGCCCCCAGCTCTTATGAGAACTGTTTCCTCCTTTTTGTATTGATTTCTTCCCTGCATGTGAAATTGCCGTTTATGTAGGTGAAGGCAGAAATCATAAGGTGCTGCTGTCACCTGCCTCCACTCCCATTGCAGCCCTGCGTGTGCCCCCTGGGCAATGTGGTCCCGGGTCTGGTTTCCCGTGTTACTAATGTGGGGTCCTGCTGTGTGCACTGGCCAGCGCTGGGTGTCTCTGCCTCGGTTGCCTGTGTTGAGGGGTTCCGCCACACAGACGCAGGGTGTCTGTCCATCAGACCGTCCTTCTGCTGCCTGCGTCTTGGTCTCACTGTTGCTGGGCCGTGGATGGCTTCCAGTTTTTTGCTGTTGCAAGCTGTGCTGTGATGAAAATCCTTGTTGTTTTTTTGTTTTGTTTTGTTTTTTTATTATTTTTGTGTGAGTGTACCGTCAAATCAGATCTGACTGGTACAGGAGGAGATTGTCCCTCCTTCCTCGGCAGAGCATCTGGTGGATTTGAACTGTGCGCCTCTGGGATTGTAGTTGCAGCTCCTTACCACTAGGCCACCAGAGCTCCCCGAAAATCCTTGTTTTGATTCATGTGACCTCGATTTCATGTAGGATCTCAAAGCGTCCTGCCAGCACGTCGGAACTGACTCACAGCTGACCCTCCAGCAGTTTTTCAGAGGCTATAAATCACACAGGAGTTTGCCTGTCTTTCTCCCGCGGAGAAGCCCATGGATTTGAACTTACTGTCTTTGAGTTGGCAGCGCAGCTCCTTACCACAAAGCCTCCCCCTTTATTTGCTGTCAGGTCGACTCCAACTCAGAGACCCTGTGAACAGCAGCTCTGAATCTGCACTGTCCTGAGCCACCCCCTCACCGCCTCTGACACACCTGCCCCCACCGCCCCAGTCACTGAGTCAGTCCATCTCACCCAGGGTCTCCCTCTCCTGCGCTGTCCCTCCACCCTTGTGAGCATAACGTCCCTCTCCAAGGACTGGTCCCTCCTGGCCACGTGCCCAAAGTATGTGAGACGGAGCTTCCAAGTCGTTGCCTGCAGGGCACAGCCTGGTGTCACCCTCTCCGGGGCAGACCTGTTTGTTCTCTTAGCAGCCATTGGCTAATTATATCCCAATGCCTGTTTCTTATTAAAATGCTGTGGTTTGGGTGAAAGTACACAGCAAATTAGAGTCCCACTTAAGTCTCCTTGCACTTGATGAGTGACACTGGTTTTCCTCGTCCGCGTTACTTGGGTCCTGGCCGTTCTGAGGTCCCCTGGCTCCTTGCCTCCCTGCTTTTTTTCTTGTCCTTCGTCCGTTTATTCTGCTGTGATTTCAGTGGACATTGACAGAGCAAGTTGCTTTTCCTTTCAACCGTGCAGGGACATTTTGTGTCGTTAATGGCAATCCCAAGAGTCTGGGTCCCCTACCTGCCTTGTGAGCGTTACCCCTTTTGATCTCACATGAAGGCACTCTACGGGACGAGCCCTGGCCTGTGTTACACCTTTAGGGTCACCTGAGTGCCAGTGGCCCAGGGACCCTGAGGGCCACTCGGGGGGAACGTCTGTCAGTCCTCGTGAGACCAGTGAGCCCGGCCACTCCAGTCTTTGGAGCTGTGTTTCCATTTCCTCCCACTCTGTCCAGGACCTTCTACGGGGGTCCGTTTCTGAGTGGTCAGCAGCAGTGGCCAGACACCGTCTAGTTAGCCTAGTCTCGGGTCGCAGAGTTTGAGGTTCATGTGAGTCCTTTGGCCGAACTGCTCCCCTACGCCTTCGCTTTTCTTCATTCTTCTGTTGTGTACAAGGAAGGAACAATAGTTGCAACTTAGTTCCTAAAGCTTTGAAGACCCTTCTAAAAATACCCACCAAGGAAGGATCCAGAATGTCGTGGACTGTTGACAGCACTGGACCTTGAGTTCCCTGGGATACTGGACACAGCCTCTTAAAGGACGCAGGGCTCACGGATGTGACGGTTCAGCTTGTGACACAGTCTCTTATTTCACTCTGAGGTGGCCTTCCAGCCTCGTCTGGTTTCCAGGGTCAGGGAGTATCTCCTTACAGTGGGACCTGGGCTTCCCAAGCCTCAGCGGGTCCAGCGAGGGGAGGACGATAGAGAGCTGGAATTCTGGTGCATATTTTGCCCCCGTTCTGTCAGGACCTGCCTGTTGTGTTTGTGATCAGTGTTGAGGCGTGGTGGACACAGACACTCGTGGTCGCCTGTGCAGGAGGCGGTGGCCTGGACAGACTCTTAGTCCCACGGACTCATTTCTGCTCTGAGTGTCCGGTTTCCTTCATGTTCTTGGCTCCAGATGCAGAGAGGCCAGTGGCTCTGTCCAAATGTTTGCTTCTAAGAAAGTTTCTAAGAACCCAGCCCTCGCCACACTACCATGTGAGGTGTAATCTTTAAGAGCTAGATTATGCCAAGTGAACGAAACTAGCATCCTCCAAAGCTCCGGGCCGCATAAATGGGTCCCAGGAAGGTGTTTGTTCACCCAGGCAGCATCCTTCTTTGTGCTGCCCTGCGTGTCACTGTGTACATGAATGGACGTGTATGTATGGATGGGCGGGAAGGAGCTGTGCTGTCAACCCAAAGGTGGGTGGTTTGAATCTGCCAGCCTCTTCACAGGAGAAAGACGGGCAGTCTCCTCCATGGCCACGGGCAGCCTCTGAGAACCCCCCGGAAATCAGCTGAGTCAGTTTCGACTCTGCAGCACTTAACAGCATCTGGATGCATATACTTGCTGCCTGTTGTCATAAGTCTGTGTTGGAGCGCACCGCCCCGTTTGTTTCCCGTCTCCTGTGGCTGGCCACATGCTACAGCAGGAAAGACCACGTAGCCTGTGAAGTCTAAAACACATGTTGTGTGACACTTAACAGAAAATGTGAGCTGACCCCCAATCCAGAGGACAGGTGTTCCGTGCCTTCGAGTAGAGGGTGACTCCTGCGGACTGCAGGGAGAACCGTGCCCAACCCTGTCCCTTCCTCCCCGTCTCGGCCAAGTGTGATCCCTGTACAGACAGGGGTGGCCCACCCACAGCTGACCCTCCAGCGGGTTTCCAGAGGAAATCAATCCACGGGAAGAGGTGGTCCCTTTTTCTCCCCCAATAGCAGCTGTGGGATTCGAACCGCCTGCTTTGGGGTTGGCAGCACAGCTCCTCAGTACCAGGCACAGAGGTCCCTGTAGAGCACAGTAAGACTTAGGAAGGGGACAGCTGGGCGATCGCTTGGAGCCTTTAGCTTTCAGACGGTGGTGTGAGAGCCCAGGTCCCAGGGTCGGTGGGCGGGGCCGGATGGCTCTTGGCTTTATCATGGGCTGTAGGGTCATTGTAGTTCAGTCTGTACTTCCTTCTCTCTCCAAGGAGGTGGAGCACACTGGAAGCCCTTTGGAATTCCTGTTCTGTAACACGCCCACCTCCCCCCCCATCTGCCTCTGTAAGCTGACACTGATGACGGGTTGAAATGGCTAAATGTTTACGCTCTGTGTTTCTGCAGAACAAATAGTGGAGAAGGACGAGGGTCCCTATTACACGCATCTGGGATCCGGCCCCACTGTCGCCTCTATCCGGGAGCTCATGGAGGAACGGTGAGTTGGCGAGGATGCCTGGGGCGGGATGGGCATCTCATACGGGAAGTGGGTTTGCGACCTCTCATCTCCACTCTGTAGTGGAGAGAGGGTCCCCTGGAGAGTGAGCCTGGACTCCCACCCCTGCCAGGCTTCTGATCGAAAGGTCCATCTTTTTCTTCAAGTCCTCTCACTGGTTGGTTGTCCTGCTGAGTTCCCTGTGGTCTGAATCTGCTGGACTTCCGGGCGGCGCTGGTTAGCTTGTCCTCCTGCCCTGGGCATTGCGGGGTCTGGATCTAACATTCTGGTTCGGTCATGTGCTCTATCTACACCCCCCAAAAAAACCCACAACTAGTTCCTGAGTTGGTATTTTATTAGCTCCACGCGGAGGAATGTCGTGTCTGTGGTGGGAGCCTGTTCATGTCGTCCGAGTCCTCCTGAATGGGGGGCTGGGGCCTGATAATAACCTGGGTTCCTTCCGTTCTGGGTGCCTCTCTGACAGAGTTCCAGACCCCTCATGTTCTGGTCACAAAATCCTGGCTTCTTTTTTGGGGGGAAGTGTTTTTAAACCAAAGTCTAGGTACTACAGATGCTCACTCATACTGGATTTTTTATTACTGAGTAATTAAATACATGATGAGTTTATACCAACACTTCTAATTGAAATTTAGATTTCATTTTCCTCAACACTTACATTTTTGGGCTTTTTGAAGAAGCCGTTAGTATACACTAAAAGTCTACAGTGGCGTCCATATTGCATGGAAATGCTGAGTTCTGATTTCCAAAAACGAGACTCAGCCCGCTGCCATCTGATAGTCCGCTCTGACCTGCGCACCTCTCCACCGGCTTTTCCAGGCCATAAATGTTTGAGGAGGAAGCTGTCCGTCTCTCAGAGCCGTGAGTGGGTTCAGATCGCGGACCTCTCACTTAGCAGAGGAGCAGGTGAAGCACAGTGCGTCCACCGTGGAGAGGCAGTGTCCTCGGGAGAATTCCAGCCCAGGGGCAGCTCCGAAGGAGGGCGTTCTGCAGACACTCCCCCCTCATTACCCCACCCTGCCCCATGTAGACGCATCTGGGTCAGTGGCTGTGACCCCACTGGGCTTTCTGACAAGTAGCCGGAAAGATGATCATAGAGCCGAGTGATCAGGACATAGGTGCGTCTCTAACCGGAATTGGTATTTTGAGAGGAAGGGAAAAGAGAGTGACGCACTGGACGCTTGATAGAGGCATGGAAGGTTGAGTGGTTTAGCATCTCCACGAACTGGGGCCAGGTTTTGTCTGCACGAGGGAGCGGATGCATCTTGGCAGTTACTGGCTGGAAGCAGGAGTTTACACAGGACAGTGGACAGAGGTAGCCAGGTGGGGCCTCTCATTGTCCTGAGCTTCTGCAAACGTTCATATTCAGGGCAGCCCATCAGGAAAGCGCCTGATCAAAGACCCAGTCTGCAGGCCAAGCCTGGTGAAGGGGCCCTGGTGGTGCAGCGGGTAAGCTCCTGACATGACTACCTGGAAAAGGTGAGCAGTGGAAGCCCGCCCGCTGCCCCCTCCCACCTCTCACCCCCCGTGCATCAAGAGTTGGGGCTCCAGCCCCTGTCGACACAGCCTGCTTGGTCCCATAGGCTCACCACAGGGCAGAAGTGAGTCGGCAACAGATGTCCGCTTCTGGGGTGAGGGTGTTTTCAGCTTCTATATCTGTCCCCCACTGTCCACATGTGCCCATGTCCAGCAGGTTCATGGCGGGGCCAGGTGTGATTTTTGTCTGTGAATTTTTTTTTTAATAAGAACAAAAACACTCTTTATACAACAAAGTATTTCTAAGTGCTCATATTAACTCATGTAACTCTTAAGACTATAGTGTAGGTGTTATAATTCTTTCACAAATAAGTATTTAGAGAGAAATTTTAAGCGATTTATACACACACATTTTGTTGCTTATGAATGAGGGAAATACAGTAAATATAGCAATCACAATTTCCTACCAGAAAAAAAAATGTGAGAGGATAGTATAACTAGCCAAGAGATGTATTAATATTAAAATATCCTCGATGAGAACAGTCATAGTATAAAATACTGTTGACAAATAAGAATATCCTATAAATATGTGGAATTCAGTTATAAAATTAAATTTAAATGATTTTCTGGAGTGTCATTTAGGTGACAAATACAATAAATGTATATAATTAACATAATATGCAAGTAAAATATTTTTAAATTACTAAGAAATGGTTGGAGCAGCATATCTAGAAACTGCCAGAAATTCAAGTTTAATTTCAAGGATGCTGTGGAATGAGATAGATTGTTGCTACATCAGATGGATCTTGGCTTAAGTTCATGCAGGGTTTTATGTCTCATAGAAATCAACAGTTTAAATCTGTCTTCCTCATATAATCTCTCCTTAGAGGTTTTTTTTAACTTTTTTAATATTTATTATTAATTTCAATGAAAATTTACAGCGACTTTGGGTTTCTAGTGCAACCAGTGGCTCTTTCATTTGCTCTAAGACCGGTGTGTGCAGTGCTTTCCTTTCAGTAAGGTCCAGCTCCTCCTGTTCCAGCATCTCTTGACTATAACACAGTTTTCTCTGAAACATGACTGGACACTTCATTTCCAATGAGCTTTTTCAAGAAAACTTCTCTACCTTCGGGCATATTTTCAGCAGGAGTTAGTCCTTGGAGAGAGACTTTGTGTTGAGAAAGGTGAGGGTCAGTGCAAGAGAAAGAGAGACTGAGACTGAGAACGGTGGAGGTGGGCAGGGCAGGGCAGGGCAAGGTTCAGGTTGGTTTTGTTCACCGGGTTAACCTGTCTGTGAACTTTTCAAAGAAATCTCAATGCTGCTCTCTAAGAATACGGGCCCTTTGTTCTGCCAGTTGAGGGTTGCAAAAAATGATGGAAAGTGCATCTGAGCTGAGACAGCTTTCTCCGTACAGTTCTGTAGGAGCATCCTCTCAGAAACACCACAAGCAAGTGGCTTTTAGCAAAGTTATTTCCGTTTCTGAGACTTGAACTCATTGCATTTGAGTTGGAACAGACTCATAGCTGACCCTCTAATGGGTTTTCGGAGGCAGTAAATCACCTGAGAAGAAATAGCCCATCTTTCTCGTGTGGAGCAGCTGGTAGATTCGAACCACCTGCATTTGGGTTGACCGCACAACTCCTTACCCACTAGGCCACTAGAGATCTTACTCTTCTCTGGGGAGAAGAACCCAGTCCTTGTCTCAGCTTCTCTGGCATTTTCCTTAATTCCGTTTTTTCAACTTTGTTGGTTCGGTGTGTAATGTATTCTTATATCTCAAAAATGATTAGCTAAGACACACCCTATTTTGATATGCCCTCGTTAACATAACAGTTAACCTTATTCTCAGATGGGTTGACATCTACAGGTCAGGGGTTTACGGTATTTCACACTCCATGAAGGGGACACAGGTGAGTCCATTTCAGGTCTGTCAGTAACTCTGCGTTAGGAAAGATCGCTTGGAAATGCGGATTCATGAAGAGATGGGGATAAAGCTTACACAGATGCCGGCTTTCTCTCACGGCTTTAAAAATAACCGCCAAGTGCAGTCTTCCGAAACCCATCCAAGGAGGAAATCCTCCAAAGATGAGGAGGCAGACTTGGGTTTTTCCTTGGCGACTGATTTATTTTTATCTTAAGGACCTTGTAAGTCGTGTAACAGATACTCGTGTAACACACTGTGCTTTCCTCATCATACTGGCTCAGTCACCAGGAACAGGGTAACATCACACCTTAGGCCACAGGTGTCCCACCCAGGTGCCACCACTACCTCTGGGCAGAACCTCTCGGGTCTCACGCAGCTTCCTTGATTTCCCTAGGCTCATCCCTTAAAATCACACAGAAACCCCAGCCTTCATGACCAGGTCTGCTCCAGCCCTCTACCCTGGCCAGGTGGGGGTTTTTCCCTCTACAGCGCCGGTGGGAGGGGGTGACCTCTTCTGATCTTAGCAACTTCACAAGGGGGGCAGTCCCCCATCAGCAGCATCCCCAGTACATAACCAGCTCCTGTGAGGCCTCCACGCTCCCATACCTACCGCTAATTCCAATGCTCACGGTTCTCCTCTCCTCCCAGAATCCCCTGCAGTGGCCACACAGATCTCCAGATCTCCCAAGACCATACTTAGGTTGTGATGTTTACTAGGAAGTTAGCAGGTTGTAGTTCAAGTGGGCAACGGAGTACAGTATCTCCAGCAGAGCTACCTCTCAGGGCCGCAGAGATCCTGTAAGCTTCACCCGCACAGCGTCGGTCAGTGCCCTGAAGGTCCCTGATGGTGTCTGCCCTCAGCCCTCCCGCAGGCTCGGGGAGGGCCCGGCTCGGGCTCTGCGGCAGCAGTCCCCGGTCCACTCTGACCCACGTTGGTCTCTGGCCCTCTGCTGTGGCTGGTGGTGCCCTCCCTGGGGTGTCCTGTCACAGCTGCCCTCCCTGGGCTCCTGTCACTGCTGGTCTCCTGGGGTCCTGCCCTTCCTGGGCTCCTGTCACTGCTGGGCTCCTGCCCTCCCTGGGCTCCTGTCACTTCTGGGGTCCTGGGGATCCTGTCACTGCTGGTCTCCTGGGGTCCTGCCCTTCCTGGGCTCCTGTCACTGCTGGGCTCCTGCCCTTCCTGGGCTCCTGTCAGTGCTGGGTTCCTGCCCTCCCTGGGCTCCTGGGGATCCTGTCACTGCTGGTCTCCTGGGGTCCTACCCTCCCTGGGCTCCTGTCATTGCTGGTCGGCTGGGATCCTGTGGTACTGCCCTCCCTGGGGTCTTCTCACTGCAGGACTCCCAGGGGCAGGAATTTCTGGCTCCCGAGGACATGTGCTGTGTTTTCTGCGTCTTCCTAGCTGGCAGTGATTCCCATTTTCTCTGCTCCACCTGCTCAGTGCACACCTCTTGAGATGGGACAACCTACCTGTCCCTGATGAATTGTTTATACACCGTCTCTGGGCTTCACCGAGCCGTGTGGTGAAGGTCAAGGTCGATGGCTAGGAAAGCCATGTAGAGCAAGAGACCTATGAAACCACAGTCCTTC